TCTTCCTAGAACCTCGTATAAATAGTACTGGCATGTGGAATAGCCTTCCTTGAGGAGCTGGATATGTTGAGCAGGGCAAGAAAGATAACATGGAGGATAAGGATGAAGAGGAAGAGGAAGACAAGCACTGATTGCCCAGGCATCTGCCACAAGGAAGGCCTAAAACAGCAGCCCAGAGGTGTGCAGGACTGTAGAGTTTTAAGGCTAGCTACAGTAGGGAGCTTTGTAGAAAACATAAATAGTTTGTAAGTCACCACTGTGTTCACAGCAGAACTGATGAAGACACAGGCAGTGTTGGGGGTAGTGCATTATGCCTGTTCTGTGCAAGCCACTAATTGTAGACTTTCTCCATGGGGATTGCAAGGCTACAATACCTGTCACATATATCCAGGCATTCCACTCCGGGGTAGGGCTAGCTTGAAAAGACATGCTGGGGCTAGCGTGACTCACATCTGCTTTGGCCCTGTGTTTAAGGTCGGGTCATGAGTACATGGGAATGGCACTGCCAGAAACAGTGCAGTTTGGAGGACTAATAGCATTACTGGGAAGGGGTTGGAAACACAAAGGTGCATACGCCTGGAAGAGAGACTAGACATAATGGAGTCCCTGCATGAGGTATCAGGGCTGGAAACAGAAGGGACTGGGTGCCTGAAAAAGGTATGCAGAGGCTGGGTAAGGCTGCAAGACTTACAGATTCTGGTGGGTTACCAGAATGTGGCCCACGGTAAGAGAGAATCAGCCCAGAGCAGGGCTGGGAGTAGAAGCTGAGCAGCTGATGGTAAAGGAAGGATCCACCATCCTCCCTCCACCATACAATTTACAGACTTCTCAGGATATGAACCAAAGCAGAATCGTGCACTTGGTGCGAGTTCACCCATGGATGGCTGCCCCTCCAGGAAGTATATGTACTGCATGGCCTGATGTGAAATTTGACTCGCCATTCTCTATCTCTCGTGGCTGTACTTCATTGTCTGGGATCGGAGGAACAGAGTTTGTCCTACCAGTGGCCCCACAATACAGGAAAAATACCAAAAGGAGACTCCAAAGGGAGAAGACTATATCTTTCCCTTTCTCCAGCATGGACTGGATAGTGGAAATGGCCTTGCAACATTAAAAGCTGTAACAACTAACAAAATGCAAGACAGAATTGCAAGGACTATTGTTTCAGATTGCAAAGGGCCTGAACCAACTCTCATCAATTCAGGGCTGCCCGCTAGACAGGACAGGATTCTAAAAAACCATGGTTTAGGGACTTAATTGATCCCATTGCAGGAAAAGGGGAGAAAAGAGCTGCTTGCTAGCTCTGGAGGTTCTGCTAGCCAACAGCCTGGGTAGGGAGTTAGATGTGTGGCACTGAGCAGAGAAATACCTGCTTCCCTTTAAAAAATAGACTATAAGTCCCTGGAAAGCTTCCCATTGGTTACATTGGACCAGACTCTTCAAGCACAACTGTGAAAAAGTTCTGCCTTAAGAAATAAAACAAAATGGCAATATATAAAAAAAACCCCAATGTCAATCTTACAGCAATTTAGACTTTGGGATAGAAAATAAAATTCCTTGCCAGAGTATTTAAAAACAGAGTGGAAACTGATCATCTAATAGCTTAAACTATCTGCCTGGAGCTAAACCAGCAGGGTGAATAATCCCTCCCCTGCTTTCATCCTTCTTCAAATTTTTCTTTGTTCCATCAACCACATGTGCGTTAAGTGTAAATTGAAGGTCTCTTAGCTGGAAAAGCATAGCGTGAAAAAGCTTTGGTTCTCATCTCATAGTGTAGCCTCAGTATTACAATTGCTCTTAATAATTACTCTTATTTTGTTGTATTATTTACTCTGGCTAGAACCTGCTAGGATCCCTTGTAAGCTTTAATTCTGATGAATTTAGCCAACAGCCACTTATGACTCCAGATGTTTCTGTTTTTGACCATGGGAACTTTATGGTATGGATATGCCAAGAATATAACTTCAGGCTCAGCCTCAGGAGAAGTATTTTAAAATTCCTTAAATCACAAATTCAAAAGAGAAAGTGCCATGGAAAGTTAGCATGCCAGAAGTAGAACACAAACCACAGGGCTGTATTGCTCAAGGTTCTGGGGTTTTATGGACACAGTCTTTACTTGTGCAAGTGCCCAGATCATGCTGCTTTCTGATCTGCTCGTGCACAGACTCATTTCAAGCACATCTTCCAGCAATGGTCTCACTCCTCAATGTTACATTATTCAGGGCAAAGAATATATCCAATATTCATGTATTCTGGCACAAAGTTAAGAACAGTGAGCCAAAGTCACTGCCAGTAGGTTTAACGTTAAAGGAGTGGTGCCTGTTTACCCTAAATAGGGAAGAGTGCTGTCTCCCATACCATATTTGACCCTGGATCAATGGCAAAGATAAAATGAGCATGCCCAGCTTTCCCCTTTATGCCATAGTCACCCTGTTTGATAGGGTATATTATCCAAGTGGCTACCATCTTCTCCAGAAGGGCAGAATGACCCTTGGTGGAATCCAAAGTCGTCCCCTTTCCAAAAGATTGGCTTTCTTGCTGTACTTAACTTCTTAGACCTTCAAGAACCTCCTGTTGTTCTAGTTCTCTTTCCTTTGAGGAGAACATCCTCCTGCCTAGTGTCTTAACTTAATGAGCCATATCTGCCAGCTCTGGTACAAGTCTTAGCATAAAGTTATTATGTTATGAAAATGCCTGCTGGTAGTGTGGCTTAATGGTAAAGCCTTTCCACCCTCTTACATAGTTCTTCTTCCTAATGAACTTTACATAGTGGTTTCCTTCAATAATTCAAGAACATAAGTAGAACAGGAGATACCACAGCATCAATCCATTTCATTATGAACAATACGTGCCAATATTTGTGGTCACAATGCACAGAAAGAAATACAATGCTATGTCCGAGTCCATGAAAAGTACAGGTTTCCCTCAGTTTATGCTGTACATGAATTCTTGGAAAAAGGCACATAACTTGAATTCACATAAAGGGACCCCACTTTGCAATGTAACAAATAGGGATACGTTCCAAGACCTTGGCCATACGGACGCCCAGACCCATTTCTACCACTTTTACAAGACAATTTTGGTACTCACCCACAGCAGACAGTGCACACAAGCACAGGGTGGTGGTAAATGTTACTATAATGCGGATGGCAACTACAGAAACACGTTGCAGATCCACACAGGAGACTACATTTTGGCGCGCGTCACTCCCACAATGCACCGCACAAAGCAGCTGATTGCAGGCTTCCACCACACTGATTGCATGAGAGTGAATTTACCTCGCATATAACGAATTTTGGGTATAAAAAGGGTCATTGCATAAAAGCAAATTCGCACATACAGAGCCCGCATAAAGCAAGGGAAACCTGTAAAGTTAACTGTACTCCCACAGTTCTGTCACTCAGAGACCACGCGCTAGTTCTCCTTATTGTGTTATGCAGCGCTTCCTAGTCAAGGGAAGTTTTGCACTTAACTCCTGTAGATGACATTGTAACAGCAGTACCCTGCGAGAGAAAAGTGCAACAAGCAAGCTATTCAAAATAAACCATTGTGAAAAGTTTTGGTGTTATTACAATTCTTCCACAAGTAGAGCAGGCATTATCATTCTAATGAGAAGGGATGACAGGAAAGACAATGAGCACAAAAGAAGGTCATTCTCATAATGGTTCATTTTACCCATTCTCCTAGTAATGTTCGAAACAGGTTTTCTTTGCTGAATATGTTGGCTTTGGGGGAATGGAGACAAAATGTTCCTTTCAGTTGCATGCGTTTGACCCCACTGGAAGTTGGGCCAGACTTCTCTCCTACCTGGACCACTTCTGTCTGTTCTCATACCATGAGATCCTTGGACTCTGTGCTAGAAGGAACAAGTATCCTTAAAGCAACTCTGAAATGCCTGCTGGGAAGAGACTCCTCCATACTGAGATTTCCAGTGTACCTGGCTTAATTGTTACCCTCTTCTAAAGTGGAGACATGTTAGCACACGGCAGGAGAGGGCAGGATAAGCATGCTCCTCAGCTGGCAGAGCTGTTACCTTGGAATTGCTCCAGCTGGCATCAACAGTGGGTGCTGCAACAGCCCCTTGCAGCTATAGGGTTAGGAAAGACAAAAGATGACTTAAACACGCCATCTGCTCTTCACTAGCGCTGCCCCCAAAAATGGAAGAAACTTGCATATCCTAGCAAGCTAACTGCAAAATTGTACCATTTAAACTTATTCAGCTCATACCATATGCAGTTACCACCCCTCCCCTCCCCTCAGACATGTTACATTTGCGCCATCCCACCGGAACCCGTATTGTGTGATGCATTCGTAGGAGCAGAGGACGGCCCACCAAGTTGTGGCAAATGATGTTTGTGCAGTACGTCAGGATTTGAAGTACTACTATTAGCATTACAAATCACCACATGTAACTATCTGTTTCCCCCCTCCACAGGCTCTTATTGCTGGTGTGCTTGTCCTTCTGGCTGACAGAGAACACACGCAAAGATCACGGGTAAACTTACGTTGTTATTCAATATGGTGTCACATGCAGTAGAATTGAGGAGTTAATCCAAATCATACTTTCAAAAAGAAAAGCATATTTGCTACTCAAGCTGTGGATCAAAAAAACCAAACCAAACCATGCGTGGCTTACTGTGGGCACGATTTAAACGTTCTACCAGGATCCTCCTGGTCCCAGAAATATTTCCGGCCTTTAAAATGCAGACTTTTTTAGTATTCAAGGATAGAAGTTAACTTTTTGAAAGGCCACCCACTGTAATGTTACACGACAAAAGCATACATAAAATACATCTGCTCTAATTTATTCTTTGAGTATTTTTAGCAAAATCTGGTTTCACTGATTTTTTTAATAAGTGGTTTATATGACATGTACTATGCTTATTTTCCCTTCCATTATGTCTCTTATTTTGGTCACAGAATAAGAGACGATAGAATTTTTATAAAGTCTGTTTTCCATGTTGGAAGTAAAGAAATAGGAAGGTTCCCTGATTCTTTTATTTAAAAAGCTTTTAGCAGATTTCTCTTATCAGTCAAAAAGTAATAACATGTTTCTGTCTTTTTTTCAGTGGGAAGCTAGTTTCAGTTTTGGAGTATTGAGCATCACAGGCAGCTCGATTCAATTTGCTGTTGCCATTGCAGCCACCCTCCTGGGTCCATACTGCTACTATTCTTTTGCAGGGATTGCTGGGACCAATTATCTTGGTTACGCAGTTCTCATCCCTTTTCC